AGTATTCCAGTGTGTGTGTATCCATTCTGTTGATGGACATTTGTGGAGAGACATGGAATGGAATGGAAAGGAATAGAATGAATGAAAAGGAATAGAATGGGATAGAGAGAAATGGAATGAAACGCATTGGAATATAATTTGGGTCATTTTAAACAATGATGTTACGCCCATTATCAAACAGGAATTCTGGGGAAAATGTGAAAGGGTTTCTCCAGGGTGTACATCCAGGAGTATAATTGCTAGATCATATGGTTCTTGAACGTTCAGCCTTGCAAGACAATGATAGATTGTTCCCCAAAAGAGTTATATAAATTTCCACCAACTGTCCATGACAGCTCATGCTGCTCTACTTCCTCACCAACCCTTGGCACAATCGGCGTCTTTATTTTTGCCAATCAGGAGTGTATCTAAAAATATTCTATTGAGGTTGTAATTTGAGTTTGTTTTTAATTCAGTCAGACAGTCGTTGCCTTTTAACTGGACATACAGTTTATTTATGCTTAACATGTTTGCTAATATATCTGGATTTATATCCATCATCTGATTTTTTGCTTTCTATTGGTCTCGCCATATTTGATTATCTTTCTCTTCTTCTTGTTTTCTTTTGGATTATATGTTTTCTAATAATTACACTATTTTTCTCTCTCTTTGTGTGAAAGTTATATACGCTCTGTTCCTCCTATTCATTTAGTAGCTATCCTCATATCATTACAAGATAAGTATTTATCCAATTTTGAAGCAAATCAGTACCTTTCCCTACTCATGGTCAAGGCAATTATCCTTGCAGTGCTCTGGGAGTTGTGGCTGGACCTGGTGATTCACATTCACCATTACTGAATGTGTGACCCTTCGTGGTCCAGCTCTCTGGGCAAAGGGTCTCTTATTATGCTCCTGCCTTGGGTGGACCCTGGGCTGTCTTCCAACGTCCTGGGTCCTCTGAAGGGATAAATATGACAGCTCTATTTCAGCAGATTTGGCAACTGACTTCAGAGTAAAAGTAGCATCAACGTTCTGCTCATCTTTCTGGGTTCCTGCCTTCAGGTAGATTTTGGCCTAAGTGTGCTTTACCATCTTATCATATCATTAATGCTTTCATAAACATTATTTTCAGCAGCATTTTTCAATTTGTGGTCAGCAGAAAGGTTGGTCATTATAGTCCTGTCCTCCAATAACTGGGACTAGGCAGAGTAGCATGCTCGCTGCCAACCACCAGAATGATGTCCTCTAGAACAGTCTGGGTGGTGGTCAGAAGCTGTGGTGTTGAAGTGCATGCTTTAATTTTGTTAATTACCATTTTTGCAAATGTCTCTCTGCTCAACTCTGCAAAGGAACTTAGTAAAGTCATTTCACCAGGGCTTGAGGGCTGGATTCCCAAGGATCTAGATCAAGGTTCACAATTTATTGATACTGGCCACAGTTTCCCATAGTCTGCTAAGTACTTGTACTCTTAGAGAAATAAGTGCAGTAGCCTTGAAACGCAGATCTTCCTGGAGAACCTAGGACATACAGTCTCCATCCTCCATGGCTCTCTTTTTCACTAAGGTCACAGAGCAGCTGGCGAAAGAGTAGGCATTAGAATTCAGGATTTCTGACTACACTGCATCATAGAACCTGTTTAGCTCCATTGTTCCAGCAAGGTACCCATCATTCAGAGGGGTTCTGTGATGGATTTTATTGTTGTTCAAAATATTTGGTGCCACTCCTTAAAGTGCCCTCCCACTCCCTTTGGCAAGATATATTTCCCTGCCTGATTGCAGACTTGACTGTATGACTTTCTTTGGCCAGTAGAATGTGAGGGTAAGTGAGGAATGTCATTTCAGAATGGCAGCTTTGAAGAGCCTGTGTAAGCTCCCCCATGCTTCCTTTTCACTCTGTCACGATGCCTGGGATTGTCCCAGACAGAAGTCATGGTTGTTTGTGCATCTGTGCTGAGCCTCAGCCCATCAGAAACTGGTAGGTTCTCTGAGTCTAGCCGAGGAAGTCTGATGGAGGCCCTCAAATTCTGGGACAGAAGTCAGCATAGGCCACATCTGCTGAAAGTAACTCCAGACCCTCTGAGTTTGACTGTCTCTTTTCAGCAGATAATTCTGTATTCTTCCTTCTTGAACCACTAACTCACTTACTTAAACCCCATCTTCTTTTTCTCCCTTGCAGGAAGCACTCCCTGCTCCCACCTCCCTCTTTTTATTTATGTACTTCCCGTAAATAGTGTCACAATTCTTCACCAAAGCTCTGCCTAGGATAATAAGGCCCCAATAAAAGTGACAACAGATATGGCTACCTTTAACACAGACTTTGGGGTGCTGAAGCATGGCCCATAGCATTTGGATCCTTGAATACCAGCAGGAATAGAATCTTGCCTGCCTGTGGTTGTTCTGGATGCTGCCAACTGCTCTAAGAGCAGCGGGAAATCCCCCCGGGAGTTGTCTCACTACACACACTGAGAGCCGTGGACTGTCCTGACCATGTGAAGCCCCTGAGACACAGAGTTCCCCCCAGCCTTTCAAAGAGTGGAGCTTGGACCATGCTACCTCTGAGTGCTGCATCCTGGGGGTGGAGATGCCTTCCTAACAGCTATTGAAAAAGATTCCCTGGGGACCCTGGATTTGCCCTGTAGCACCTTCTGTGGTTCTTTGAATTGTGGAGAGATTCACAGTAACTTTTTTTTGGCCCCAAGATGCCTGTGGGACAACATATTCCGACAGTAACAATGGCTGGCAATGGCAGGGGTTCTTCCCAGGACTGGAGTGGGTGGAGGGGGTATATCCCTCTCAAGACCATATATTGAAATCTCTGGGATAAGCGTACACGCAGTTTTCAAAAGCCCTTAGGTGATAACTACTCACCTGCCCAACTCTTCATTATTTTTATATTTCAGGCTCCACATTGACATTCTTTGTATTATTCTAGTAAGTAACCTTTAAGTAATGGACATTTTACAAAAGTATTTATTAATCCACATTCCAAATTGGAGAGGGGACTAGTTTTTATCCTCCTCCCCTTTACCAATTTTGTTTGTAGAATACAGGTACATGGTATTTTATTTTATAAAGGAATAAAAATTCCTTTATCTTAAAAAGTATTATCTAAACTAAAAATATGGCAGCAATGTATAATGGAACTGCCAGTGTGTGATGTGCCATAGCTGTACACATTTATACATTAGTGAGCTCTTAAATTATGGCTTCTGGAGCAGACCAGTGCCATTTGCAGAAAATTGAGGTAGTAACTGTGTTCATTGATTGTATCACAAGCAAGGTTTTTCTTGAGAGAACACAGGGCTGTTGTAGAGAAAGATAAATTATATTGGTCTCTGCTTAGAGGGCTCCCACTTTAAATTAAACCTACTAGGCCTAAGGGAATTGCATCATTTGAGTAAAAACAAATGATAAACCCTCACTCTGTATCTCTTTGTTTTTCATTCTTTGTCATTTGTTCTGGGAACAATGACACAATGTTTCTCAGAGATTCACTCCTGGCGTGTGGCTCTAAGCTGGGCTATAAGACCCTGAATTCATTCACGGCTCCCCCATCTCATTTGGCTGGTAGCTGACTGCTGAGAGAGGCCCCAGGGAGGTGGAAGCAGCCTCTTCCTGAGGCCTTGGCCAAAGGATTTTCCATTTATGAGCTTCAGATGTCTGAATTCAAGGTCAAGAGAGTTAGGTTAAGAGATGGAAAGTTCAATGAAGAAATCAGATTTTTTTTTTTTTTTTGTGAGGAAGACTGGCTCTGAGCTAACATCTGTGCCCATCTTCCTCTCGTTTGTATGTGGGACACTGCCACACATGGCTTGATGAGTGGTGCATTGGTCCACACTCAGGATTGGAAACTGCGGACCACGGGCCGCCAAAGCAGAGTGTATGAAATTAACCACTATGCCACCAGGCCGGCCCTAAGAAATCAGATTTTTAAAAATAAAGAGTCCCTTCTAGAGCTCTCAGTTGATGGCTCTGAGACATAGTTTTGTCCTTTCTGAGGTCTTTAGCACAAAGCTGGTGGAGCACACTCCCCATTCCAAGAGAGGATCCAATGGTGTTGTCCCCGACCTCAGCCCATGCAAAAACCACTTGGAGGCAACTGCCAAGTCTGGAACTCAGCACTGAAAACTTGCCTTCTGGTTCCTAGCAACCTTTTTCAACTCTGCATGCTCTTCGCTCTGTGCTCCACATGTCTAGGGATCCGATTTCCAGGTTAAAGAACCGTAAAATGATTACACCTGGAGGAAGCCTTGCACGCTATCTCGCATAGCCTCCCCTTTGTGGGCAGAAGACTGAAGTCCGCCGAGGGAAATGATTGGATTCTAGGCCACTCAGACATTGCAGCAGAGCTGGAGTAAACTGCCACATCACCTGGTCTTTTCCCTGCGAAGCTGCCTCTCTCCAGTGACTGCACCTTCATTTGGATTATGCAAATTTGGAGTCGAGTTCCCTCCTAGTCTCCAAAGTATTTAAATTGGGCATCAGGGAGCTGTGGGTACCCTGTTGCCTGGCCTCTTTCAGCAGCAGCTGAGGCAGCAGGAGCCTGCAGCACAGAATAAACTTGTTCCTCCCGCAGCTGCCTTAATGTGGCCTGGGACCAGAACCAAATATGAGCTCTAACAATTCTATGACTCTATGAATCTGAAATGCTATTACTGTGCTTTTCATAGCACGTTAAATTACATTCTATCTCATTAACTGGTCTGGGATCTCCCCAAGCAAAGGGACCACATGTTACTTCTCTCTCAATCCCTCTGCATTAGGAGCTCAATGCAACTGCAATCAATGAACGAATGAGCTTGGTTTCAGAAGGCCTGGATCTGAATCTTGGATGAGCCATTTAGAAGTGTGTAAACCGCAGCTTCCTGATCTGGACGAAGGGGGAAATAATCCCCGCCTTGGCCAACACACAAGTCAAGCAGCTAGTGCTTGGCACATGGTAAATGATGGTCCCAGAACATCATGGGGCATGGGAGCTGCAGGCTCTGCATTTCCTCACCCCTTGTTTCTCCTTGGCTCCCTGGGTGTCATAGTTACCATAGCCCATGATGTGGAGAATGTCTGGAAGAGCAGTAGGATGAAGCAGGCCCATAGAATAGTCTTTGCCTCCTGGAGATCCCTGGAGGTCTGGGTGAGTGTGGTTTGGGGTTTAGCCTCCCCACCTGCTCGCCCTACTTACCTGGTGTCCCTATGCAGCCCTGCCTCCCAAGCCCAGCTCAGGGCCCTGGAACTCTCCCTTGGGACTTCCCTCCTCCTCAGCCCTGGCTCTTGGTGCCCTGCCCAGCTGCCATGGTAACAGGTTCCAGGGTGACAAAGGAGGTTGCTGGGTCCTATTTCCTCCCAGTCCTGTCGAGGAGGATTTTCAGACCACAGAGACTGAACTGCTCTGCACCTACCTGGGCTCTTTCTGTGTTCTCACTCAGGTTGAGCTCAAACTTCCACCCCTGCCAGCAGGGCCATGTGTACCAGCCTGACCACTTGTGAATGGAAGAAAGTCTTCTATGAGAAGATGGAGGTGGCAAAGCCGGCTGACAGCTGGGAACTCATCATAGACCCCAAACTCAAGCCCAATGAGCTGGCCCCTGGCTGGAAGCAGTACCTGGAGCAACATGCCTCAGGCAGGTGAGAGGCCAGGGGAGGGGGGGCCCTGCAGGCAGCCCCTGGATCACAGCCCTGGGGGCACCTTCCACAGGGAGACAGAGAAATGTCTGGAGCTCAGTCCTGGGGTCGGCTCAGGTTAGAGGGCAGAGAAGGAATTGCCAGGTGGGTCGAAGAGGACTTACTTCTAATCCCAGCTGTATTATGGACTCCCTGGGTGACTCTGGCAAGGTGTGTTCTATCTTTGGGTCTTGGTTTTTCACGGTAAATGAAGAGCCGTAATATCTTCAATGCCCCTGCAATCTCTGACATTTTAAATGTTTTTGTATTTTCATAATCTCTTAAAGAGTGGTGGGAACTGAGGGGAGGAGGCCATGAGGTCCACTGGGGAAAGCCTTAGCTTAGGCTCAGGGGGCCTGTGCCCTGGTCCTAGGTCTGTTCACTCAACTCAATCCAATTTGATTTGAACACATAGACATTTACTGACCCCCCCACTATGTTCTAGAAATTGGCTGTACAGCTAACTCACTCTGTGAACTTGGGCAAGTCCCTCTCCCTCTCTGGGTTTCAGTTTTCACATTTGCAAAACCAGGGGGTTGGCCTTAGATGATCAATCAAGTCCCTTCCAGCTCTTTTATCTATGGGTCTGTACCAAAAAGATGTAGCTTCAGGCAGGACTTCTCATGGGTCCTTAGGGCCCAGCATCTCATGTTTTATAGAAGCTGTACATTTCTCATTGTGCAGGGAGTCCTTGAGTCCATCTGAAGCTCACATGACTCTCTTTCTTCTAGACCGTTATTTGGGATTGTGAACACAGAATTCCCTGCCTGAGCTGCTTCAAGCTCATCCCCAGGGTCTGTGCAAGCTTCTTCCCTTGGGCTATCCATTCACGGACAGACGGTACCCCTAAGCCCCTGGGGAGGCCAACAGGTGGCTGGTTCTGGGGGTGTGGACACACAGAACTTGGATACACATACTGAGTTGTTCTCACATGTTTGTATGTGAAGCCCCTCATGGTGCAGCATGGTGCTGAGGGTGGGAACAGGAGGAAGTAGGCTGTGCGTGGGGAGCTTACATTTGCACACTTGCCCCAAGACCTACAAATATTAGAGTGAACCCATCTTTGGGACAAAAGACAGAGAGGCAGAGATTAGTTGGCTCATTTCAATTCAAATCAATTCAAGAGACACCTATTGGTACCTGTTATGTGCTGAGTCCTGGCTCTGGCTTTGATTAGTTGTGTGTGCATGGATAGCTCTCTTTCTCTCTGTGCCTCTATTTCGTCTCAGTAAAAGGAAAGCCTGAGTGCATGATCCTTAAGGTCCCCTCCTGCTAGGTCTGATATTTTAGGATTTAGATCTGAGGTCTGGCTTGAGGGAAAGGAAACAACTCTGGTTTGGCTTGATTTAGAAAGGTGTAGAAGGAGCAGGCTGAAAACACGTGAAGCTCCTGAGCTGGCTGGTAGGAGGGGTGCACAGTGCCGGAAGCGTGGGTGCAGAGGTCCAGGGGTTTAGGGGCCGAGCTCCACGGCAGCTTGTGGCTCCTCTTGCCTCAGGGCTCAGCTGATCCTATTCCTGGCTGGTGACCTGTGGCTCTCAGCTGGCCTCAGGCAGGGCCGGAGAACTGCCACCCTCGTGTTTATTCTGTGCACAGGCTCGTTCTACCTTTAAGCCTTGGGATGCATTAACCCTGGTGTCCCGCAGCTCTGGCCCAGTTTGGGGGGGACATCCTTCTGGCTCAGGACTAATTAGGCTGCTCTGCCCTGCCAACCCCCACTTGAGCTGCACTGGTTCCTGTTCTGTGCTCATGTTGTCCACGCGCTCCAGGGCTAAGGGGCAGGCTTGGTCTCCTCTCGAGCCCACAGCCTGGGCTGCGTGGTGCTTGGCACACGGTGGGTACTGAGTGCTGTCTGTTGGACTGAATCGACTTCCTCATCAGAGGTCCTTCAGGGCCATCCTACAGAGGGGTCCAGAGAGGGTCGGTAGTGAGGGCAGACTCTGCCCGGTGGACTCCCGACTGTAAAGCCTGTGTAACAAGGGCCTGGAAGAGGGATGGAAAGAACTGCCCTGGAAGTAATGAGTGCTCCGTCACTGAAGGTGTGCAAGCACTGGGTGGGAGCTGAGGGAGTGGGGCTTGGCTAGATGAGTCCCAGGCCATTTCCCTCCATGTTTCTTTTTTTTTAAATATTTTATTTATTTATTTTTTCCCCCAAAGCCCCAGTAGATAGTTGTACGTCATAGCTTCACATCCCTCTAGTTGCTGTATGTGGGACGCGGCCTCAGCACGGCCGGAGAAGTGGTGTGTCTGTGCGCACCCGGGGTCCGAACCCGAGCTGCCAGCAGTGGAGTGCGCGCACTTAACCGCTGAGCCACGGGGCCAGCCGGCTCCATGTTTCTTGAGGCTGTGACTCTAGCAGGCCCAGCTTAGACAAAGCGGCCTATGTGTATGTAAGTGTGCATGTGTGCACGTGTGTGGAGGGTGATGCAGACCAGGATCCACTTTTCCAGTCTCTACTGCAGGGCTAGAGTAAGACCTGGGGATGATTTGCTAAGGGACAAGAGAGTGTTCTTTGTGAAGGTGCAGGCAGCAAACTCTGTAGTCCTCCCCCTGCTGGCCCATCACCCATCCACCCGTCTATCTGGCGGATTCTCGGTGGTTATTCTCCGAGTTATGCTCAGTGGTGTGTGCTTGGCACAGTTGGAGGCACCTCCTCTTTTCCCCAGAGCAGGCAGGATGCATGAGTGAGACTTGCTGGTCATCTCCCTTAGCAGAGTCATGGGAGGTCTGAGCGGAAGGACTTTGATTGGACACTATCACCCTGCATTTCACAGATGAGAAATAAGGCCCAGATTGGGGGAGTGGCCTCTGTGCAGCGTCCAGGCACATGTCATGAGTACATTAGGCTTGTGGGGAGCTGAGGCCACGGGAGGGCGTGCAGGAGGCAGGCTTTAGAGCACCTCAGGAAGCCAGATGACTCTAGCGCCTGGCTCCTGAGGACGAGCTCCTGGCCCAGGGGAGCTCACCAGGAGGAGGCGGGGCCAGCTGGCTCCAGCGCTAATGAACCCAGGAGGCAGTAAAGACTTCGCCTCTATTTCCAGTTATAGACCTTCCTTTTCATTGAAACACGTTCAGTGAAACACAAGGTGCTTCTTTTCCGGGCTCCACCAGGGCAGGCTGTTGCTGGGAGGGAGGCCCACCTTCTCCATCTCTCCCAACCCTCCTCGCAGGTTCCACTGCTCCTGGTGCTGGCACACCTGGCAGTCGGCCCACGTGGTCATCCTCTTCCACATGCATCTGGATCGCGCCCAGCGGGCGGGCTCGGTGCGCATGCGCGTCTTCAAGCAGCTGTGCTACGAGTGCGGCACGGCGCGGCTGGACGAGTCAAGCATGCTGGAGGAGAACATCGAGAGCCTGGTGGACAACCTCATCACCAGCCTGCGCGAGCAGTGCTACGACGAGGACGGCGGCCAGTACCGCATCCACGTGGCCAGCCGCCCGGACAGCGGACTGCACCGCAGCGAGTTCTGCGAGGCCTGCCAGGAGGGCATCGTGCACTGGAAGCCCAGCGAGAAGCTGCTGGAGGAGGAGGCGACCTACACCTTCTCTGGTGCCTCCAAGCCAGGGGCTCGGGAGGGTTCAGGCTACAACTTCTTCTCCCTCCGCTGGTGCCTCTTCTGGGCCTTTCTCTGCCTGCTCATTGCCTTGCTGCAGTTCTCCTTCCGCAGCTCTGCCTTCTTTTAGTGGAGCTGGTTGGGAGTGGGAGGAAGGCACATGGGGGTGAGAGTGGGAAAGACGCAGTTCTGGTCCTGATTCTGCCACAGGTTCAATATATGATGCTGGACAACTCAGTTACTTCTGTGGGCGTCAGTTTATTCCTCTGCAGAAAGAGAGGTATGCTCTAGGAGATATTTAATGGTCTTTCCATTAAAATTTACAGTGATGGAGGGAAGGGGAGAAGAGAATAAGGGGGATTGAGAACTCTCCAGGTTTGGTGTTAGTACTAAACCCTCAGGGAGGTATCTTCTGCCTCCACCTCGTCCACCTCCACTCCACCCCTCTTTTTGCTTCATTTCTGCATCCCATACCCCATCAGGACCCCATTCAGCCCTGTCTTGCCCCTGCCTCATTCTCAAGGTCATCTTCAGCTGCCTCTGACCAATCTGCTGTGGTTCCACTTGGAGCAGCCTGTGACCTCACCCAATGCATCTTTAATTAATGCATCTTCACCCAGCCCCCCTCCTGGAGAGCCTGCTCCCACCATTCTGAAAAGCTCAGTTTTTCACTATGGTGCTAGAGTCCACTTGGCTGGAATTGTTTAGAGCTGCACTGTCCAATGTGTTAGCCACTAGCCACACGTGGCTGTTTAAATTTAAATTAATTAAAATGAAAGAAAATAAAGAATTCAGTTCCTCAGTCGCACCAGCCACGTATCAAGTGCTTAGAGGCTATTGGTTACCATATTCTACTGTGTGGATATAGAACAAATTCACAGAAATTTCTATGGAACAGCACTGGTCTAGAACTTGAAATTCCCACTTAAATGTATGTGGACTCATAAAACAAGAGGTGGGTACAGGTTTAAAGGTGCAGCATGAAGCCTTTAAAGGGTGGGGTTTGGGGGGAGGGACAGGTAGGGTACAGGAGGGAGGGCCAAGTGAGGTGGGGTATGGTAGAGATACACAAATAAATATGTAATCTCTGTGCTTCTGGCTGTCAGTTGATTGGAATCTGTGGGTCCCAGTGTTGTCTAAACTTATTTCCTGGGAAGGAGGACCTGTAGAAATTCTCCACAAGATGGTGGCTCTGTGTGTGTGTGTGTGTGTGTGTGTGTGTGTGTGTGTGTCTTGGTTTGGGGCTTGGAGAATATATTCCTTGTTCTGCACCACTACTTACACATGATGCCATATCATGTGTGATACTTCCATCCTGTATAAAAATACCTTATAGCAAATTCTATAGCTGTCCCAGATCCTGGGGATGGCGAAGGAAGGAGTAGATGAGGCAGATCTGTGGATGTGGATCTTCTAGGCGGCAGTGGGGCTGTGTGTCTCCATTCAGGGGAAGCAATGACTAAGGGGAAGCGTGAGCAGTGGTGACAGCACCCATCTCCCAGCACCTTCCCCTTTGCCCAGTTCATGAGAGGGCCCCATTAGGGGGAATGCATTTGCTGTGCCCATTCCCTCAGGCATAGCTGTGACTTGGGCAATTTGATTTACGGTCTGGCATCAGATGACCCCTTGTTTATTATTGTCTGGAACAGGAAACAGAAACTCTCCTATTCTCACCCCTGATTCTTCTCTGACATTCACAACTTTCTGTAGCTCACCTTTAGAGCCTCTGCCCCAAGTAGGGCCTGAGAACTGAAGATGAGGTTCAAGGCTGGTGCGTCTGGCTAGATGTGTTCCCAGAGATGAGCTGCTTTGGGCACTGTGTCCCACCTGCCCACTGTACGTGCAGGCTGCCTTTACTCTTCTCCAGCTTTGGCAGGGGGTTTCTAGTGGCTTGTCCAGATTTCTCTGTGGACTTGCAGGAGCAGAGAGCTAGGCAATCTGGAAGAATCTACCTTTCTTTGGTTAGGTACAGTGGAGCTATTAGGCTGGAGTGTTGTGAACTAGCAGGCAAGTGAGGTTGTGTTCACCTCTGTCAGCTACAGAGGATGTAGCTGGGCCTGTACAGAGTATGTGCCCTGTGGGGTGTTGCTCAATTGCAGACACATGGTGGCTTCTGGGGAGATGTCAGGAGCCCGGGCATCTGTTGGTCACCAGAGGACTGTAAGCAGGGTCCACCCTAGGAGTCTCAAGGGGACATGAAGGGACAGGATTGGGATGAAGCAGTGCCAGCAACATCTTTTAACTGAAGTTGTGGTGTGTGGGCTAGGGGTAGACTGTGGAGATTGTGTCAAGGGGGAGGGTCGGGCCTCCGGCAGGTCAGTAAAGCTGGGGCCTCTGAGCTGAGGCCTGGGAGTAGAAGGATGAAGAGCCACTGAAAATGGAAGTGAGGGTGAGGGGGCTAGAGATGGTGAAATGAGATGAAGTCTAGGAAAAATTTCAGAAGATAAACATATTCTCCCTCTTCATCAGCTCATCCTTCTCAGTATAAATTTACCTTATCTTTCATATTTAGCTAAAATGACTCTTCTCTGACTCCACATCCCCTCTACTATTGCCATGTATTTTTTTTTTAATTCCTTCAAAGCCAAGTTTCTCAAAAGTGTAGAGTATATTTATCTCTACTTCTTATTTACTCCTTAATTCACGGAAGTCTCATTTCCATTGCCCCTAAGACTGTCACCCCACACCCCACTGCCAAACCGTCGGCCACTTTTCTATCTGTATCTCACTTGGTCTTGCTGCTCTATTTTGCCCTCCCTTCTTGAAGATTCCATGATAGCACTTGCTCCCCATTCTCCCACTTCTGTTTTCTCTCCACTGCAATATTCTTTCTCTTACCCATCCCTTATATGCTAATGTTTCCCGGCAGTCTCTCACTCTGCTGGTTTTCCCTCAGTGACATATACCCACTCATTACTTAGGTTTTCACTGCATATGAGCTTCTGGTCTTTTTAGCTTCTCTAAGCATTTCCACTGAGCTCCAGACCCCCAGACCAATTGGTCTGTCCACCGGGAGCACCTCAGCGTGACCAAAGCTGATCTCATCATTTTGCCATGCACACTTGCTCCTCCTACTTCTCAGGAATCTGAGGGTTATCTCCTGACCTTCTCTCACCACCCTGCCTTACCCTGCACGAATGGTCCTGTTGATTCTTCTTCCCACGTACCTCTGGGATTGGTCTCCTTTCTTTCTCTCCCACTTACTGCTACCCAAACTTATCATTTGGTGTCCCTTTGCCTCTGTGGCCTCCCTAATAATGGTGTGCCTGGAGTCCCCCCCCGACAGCCCACCCTGCACTCCACCACTATCCCTGGGGTGTTTCTAATAATCAGACATATCAGCTTACTCCCCTGCTTAGAGTCTTCCGGAGCTCCTTCCTGCTAATGGATAAAACAGTCTCATTAGCCGGGCACACCTCATTTCCCAGATAATAATAATACACAACATTTATTGAGAAGGAGCTCAGTAAACATTTGCTATTAATGACAATTTACTGTGGGAGGTGCTGCACTAAGTGTTTTGTGTTCATTGTTGCCTTTAATTCTGAAAACAACCCTTTGAGGCAGATACTATTATCATCTCTATTTTATGGCCGAGGCTTAGAGAGTTTAAGAAACTGGTTCATGGAGACCCAGTCAGTACGTGATGGTGCTGAGGTTAGAATTCAGGGTCTTTCTGGTTCCAGAACTTAAGTTCTCAATCTCTCTGCTATCCTGCCGCTCTGATCAAGCCAATGCTCCTCAAACTCTGACGTTCGCTCCCTCTGGAACACCTTCCCCATCTGGCTTTAGGGAGTTTTTCCTTCAGTCTCGGCTTGAGCATCAACTCTCCCATGAAGCCTTCTTTCACAGCACCAGGCAGTCCTAGGAACTCACCACCTTGAGGCGATCTCTGCTACTGCACTTCTCATATAGTATTGTCACTGCTGGTTTGCATGTGTCTGCCACCACTGTCAGTTGTTTTTCATCTGTCTATCCCCAGTATCTGGCACAAAGTAACTACTTCATCAGAAGGTTGACTGACTAAATTCTTGTCTTGGTGGATGCAATATTCTCTACCACACCCTCCCTCCCACCAAGAGCCATCTTATGTATGTTTTGTGTACTATGATCCCCCCAAGCTGGAAGGGAGCTAAAGGCTGACTTTGTGTCAGCCATGGTGTATAATTTACCCTTAATAACAATCCATAAGATAGGCACCATAGTTATTCACACTTACAGAGGGGAAACTGAGTCTTGGCGAGATGTTCAGTTTTCTAAGGCTTGTGAGCTGGTTAGTTTAAATCTGGCACAGGAACCCAGACTACTGAGAAATGGAGAATTAAATAAGCCTGTCTGGGCTCAACACATGACTCATATTGAGACTCAGCTCAGATCCTGGACAAGGACCACAGCACCTCGCCCAGAGGGCAGAGCCAGCCACTAATATCTGGATGGCAGCTGGACTCTGAACCAGTACCTGAAGACAGACAGGGAAGCTGGACTTCCAGAAACCTGGAAACAGAGATGACTGAAAAATGTGCAAAAATTGTCTGCTAGAATAGTTAATAAGTAGTTATGAAGAGAACTCTTGTAGACACTCAGTGTGATATTAACTGCATGCTCATGTACCTGTGTTGCTGTAATGTGGAATGAGTATTTGTTCCCTACCTCTCGTGAGGCCTGGGTGACCCGTCAAAAGAGGCCATTTATTATTATTTTTTGGTTTCTGTGTGTATCTTGTAACTATCTCTGTGTTTCGGTGATATAAGAAGGCAGTGCTCTATAACCCCGTGTGCATCTTTGTGCTGATTTTACACCAACATTAAGCAAGTTGGTGTACTGATGGCTGGTTGGCAGTTGCTTGCAGAGTACCTGATGAAGAGGACAGTGAGGCATGCAGAGGAATGCTGCACTGAGACTCCAGAGATCTGGGCATCACTCAAGGATACAGTGGAGTGAGTCGGCATAAACCCATTACCACCCCTGGGAAATGGCCTGGAGTATATTCTATGGTTATACAGCTGTAGTCCTTCAGTTTTCATCCATAAGTCAACATCCATCTACTCCTGTCTATTTTATTCCTGGCCTTTCCTAAGTTCCAGGATCACAAAGATGATCAGACATAGCCTGACTTGGAGGCCTCACCATGTGTGCTAGTCAATGCTGTGCTAGGAAAGGGGACCACCTACTCCTACCTCGGAGATGAAGGGTCAGAAGTGGTTTCTTAGAAGAGGAGTCCTGCAGGGGGTGTGTTTTGAAGGCTGTGTAGAAGTGGTCAGGAGGTCAAGGCTGGGGCTGACAGGGAGCTAAGTGCCTCCCAGCCCGAATGAAGAAGGAATACCCAGAGGCAGAGTTTATTTCATGCTC